CCTGGAATATGAAAGGAAAATCACCAGCAGAAAAGCCACAAAAAGAAGTAAAACTATCCCTTCCTTCTCTGTCTCTTTGTTTCTCTCTCTCTCTCTCTAGCTCACTTGCTTTCTCTCCATCTCTTACCAAGAAGCAGTGATTTCAAACTATACACAGAAGGTATAGAGTTTAAGCTAAAATTAAGCTAACTTATTTTTTTTTTACCTTTTAATTGCTCAGTCTTTACATAGGCCTTAAATCTATATCTAAAAGAGCACTGGATACTTTGGATTGTATAGGGAACTTTATTAAGAGCTATCTTTAAGATCAAAAGTTGAGCTGATCAAGAGACAACAAAACCCTTGGTGTTTAATATACCTAAATAAAGACATTAACTTCTCCATAACTGAAAATGGCAATTAAGGCCAAATGGAAATGGTAACACCTCAAATATACCATCTTTCTAATAATTAAAGATAAGTTTGATAAAAGTTGATTCAATCATTCGTCATTCAAAATCTTGCTTAAATTAGGAAGTTGCACAAAAAGTCTTACCCAAGTACTTGCTATGTCTCTACTGATATTTCCATTCAGAAAAGCGTGGGGAAAAAGCTGAATTTTGGCCTTTCTTGTCCTTATTGTTTTAGCAAAGTCAGTGGTCATCATATTTACGAAAGCAGAATCCCACACTGCTAAACTCTGGAATGAATAATCCTAACCCACAACCGTTTCCTTAGTTTGCTTTAATGTCTCTTCCTCTGAATATTGAAGTGAAGTTATAACAATATTCCTTTTTAAAGAGCAAATTTTCCCCCCATGAGCTGAAAGAATCTACAATTCTACTCCTTTATTGTCCTGTCTAAAGCAATGTGCATTCTAACCTCATAACTTTGCTTGTGGTAAGTTTAAACTTTTCTATGATAAGTTTCTTCAGAAGAGTTGCATGATCTCTTTCAGCTGCCACGGCTTTACAAAAGAAAACATTCTACTGAATTTAAAATCTTATAAATATGTAAACTATTTTTATGATTTCTATTCTATGTCTTTCTGTTACATCTCACTGGTCAGAACCACAACAAAGTAAATACACACATACACATATCTATTCATTTAATAGTGTAATACTTTTAATATTTTATTTGCAAAGTAGTTTTATAATTTAGTTTAAGTACTTTCAGTTTGAAGCATTTTATTTCTATTAATATTATTAAATATTCTATTTAATGCTAAATATTCTATTTATACATCTTATTTAGATATCTCTGTAGCTAAACTTGAATATCATAAAAATTACAAATATATAAAATGCTAGTTAATGGCTATAATAAATATATTACTATTCCACAATAGTTTTTGAAAAGTATTCAATTCCTATACCTTTGTTCTGAAAAAACTGTAGCAGGATTGGGGGAAAAAATGCGAATGATAGCTTTTCTATAATAGTCAACATTTTAAAAATATTATAGTCTATATCATGCATAGGCAACATTTCTTGTTCTAAGATGCGTGCTAATTGTGTGGCTGGATTCAGGAAAGAATATTCACATATATCATGAGCATACTATTCTTTTTGTAGCAAGATTGTAGAAACCCTGACAATATTACTGATAAAAAGAGGGATCAAGCGGCAGTGGAAAAACTCAGACAAATTTTTACAGGCCTCCAAAAACTGCATCAAGACATGAATATTTCTTGCAAGTTGCATGGTAACTGCAGGCAGTATGTCTATATAAAATTGTGAGTTGACAATTTGCATATTAGGAGCATTGATACTTTAATGTAATCTGTTCTCATTATGTGCTACTTAGATTCTTATAGTCTAACACAGAGAGGAAATCTATGGCCTCTGGATATTTTTGGATGACACATCTCATGAACTCTAACTTTTAGTTATGCTGGCTAGATTTGACAGGAATTAAGTTCAACAATATCTGCAGGGATGTGGATAATCTTCCTCTGTTCTTGTAGATGCTTTTGATAACCAAGGAATCTACTTTTTGCAGGTTTGTGGACTTTTCTATAGAGCCGTGTTAGCAAACCTATGTCACACCTGCCAGAAGTGGCACACAAGCCATTTCCCCCAGCACATGAGAGGTCACCTGGAAGAGCCCCACTGCGCATGTGTGCGTGCTGCCGCCCGACAGCTGATTATCAGGTATCTGGCGTGCATGTGCAGGTGGCAGAGGGGGATGCGCAGGAGACACACGCGCATGCCCAGAGACATGCTGTGCACGAGGGGATCATGCATGGATGTGCAGACACCACAGCGCATGAAGGGGGGTCATGTGCCAATGCACAGGGGGGTATGGAGGGTCCCAGCACGCATTGCCTTCTGGATGCTGGCATGTGAGTGCGCGAGAGCACTCGTGCAATTATCGGCACGGGAGCCAAAAAAGGTTAGCCACCACTGCTATAGAGCATACACTGAAATTCTAAGATTATCCTCAAATTTTACTTTGATTCAAATAAAACTGAAGTTCTGTTTAAATGTAGCCTTCCATGCTTTTCTCATGAATCATATAAGTAAGGGGATAACATATAGGCCTTTCTTGGCATAGAAAGGTGAATGAATTGTGTGAGTTTTGTAAATTTTAAAATCTTCATCTGAACTTTAATGTTCAAAACAACTGATACAAAAATATTCTGAAATAGTAACTGAAAAACAATAGTATAAAACATTGATGCATAGCTTTTTTTAAAATAGCATCAATGATTTTGAGCATTTTGTTTCTGATGAATGCCAACCAGTGCAAATGAATGATTATCCTGTCAATCCAGTGCAAAGTTTCTGATATTTGTTGCTTAACTTCAGAATGAAAAATAGGACCTGTCTTTAGAAGGTTTCACCTATCTTTTAAAAATGATGATTGGGATTTCAGTAGTTGAAGTTCAACATATGAAGGGGATTGACATAATGCAGAAGGTTGCTTTAGACAGTCATGTGTTCTAAGTGTGAGAAAAAGTTATAGAATTCTTCCTTGAATTGCTTCTGTCATATCCTCATCTATCTTAGGTTTCTGTTTCCAGAAAGAAATACAACACAAACTCATAAGATCACTGCAAATAAGCAACCCATACACTCCATAAAGAAATTGATCAAGGCTACAATGGCCAATACTGAAAAACCCTGAGATCTGTAGTTGAGCAACTAGATAATCACCAATGTTTTACGGTGAGTTAGAAATGGGTGGAGAACATATATAATGGATTATTTTTTTGATAGCATTCAAAAGGTTTATAATTTAAGGACATTGCATTAAATACAGCTAAATGAAATGACATTTGTATGTTGTCTTTATTTTGTATCGATCTTGCTACAGGGACTCTTTTATATGCATGCATGCTTTTATATGCATGCAACCTTTGAACTAATCTTTATTCTTACCAGTGCACATCACAACTTTTATTTTACATCCATTGATTAGCCTGTTCTCTGGAAATTCATAGCAACTTACATAGGGAGTTTCAATTCATGTTTCCTACCATTATAAAGCTGTGAAAGTGGATGTATTTAGGAGAGAAGAAGTTAATATCAGTCAGTAAGTTTCCATAAATGAGGATATATCAGCAACTGAATATCAGTCTGCCCATGAAATAATGTTCACTTTCTTCTGGAAGAGGGACATTTCAAAGATAGTTCAATTATTTCCTGAAAATAAATCTTTTGGAGCAGGAATCAATTCAAAGTATTCTGGAGCCAAACTACAACTGGAACACTGAAAACTATTTTCTGTTCCAAAAAAAATCTATTAGACCATCCCTGGAGTCAGTAGATTAGAAACTGAGGTGACACAGTGTTTAGAGTACAGTATTGCATTGTCAAAAAGTTTGATCCTGACTGACTCAAGGATGAAGCACCCTTCGATTCTTCCAAGTCAGTAAAATGATTTTGAATATTGGGGCAATAGATTTTGGGGGGCAATCTGGGGACTCTGTAAACTGCTTAGAGAGTGCTGTAAAGCACTATGAAATGGCATATAAGTCTAATTGCTATTGCTATTGCTAGATTAGTGCACAATTGAGAAATTTTTTTGAATATCCCTACTTATAACATCATTAAAAGAACTGGATATATTTATTTCATTTCTTGAATTTTATTTTTTCCTCACATATATTTTATGTTATAATTTTACTACAATCTATAATTAGGGAACATGCAACCTGTACGCACCTGCTCTCTCCATATTTAAAGACAGTCTGTCAATTGAATAATCATTGAATGTCTATTTTTCTAAATGTAAAGATGTACATCCTTTATATTTAACATCTACTAGCTTGACATTTTATATTTCATAATAAATGAACAATACAATTACCATAAATATCTATTTATATTGTTTGGACAGTTATCAGGGGAGTATTATCATAACCTTGAAAAAGGAATAAAACAGCAATTAAATAAACATCAGCTGATCCCTGAATAAGAAAAAGGGGTCAGAAAGATGCTCAAGATAAGCTCCCTGAATTGTTTTTAGTCTAAGAAGAAGCAGGGGAAATGCTGTCAGGCTTTTCATATTCTGTTAATACATCCTACAACAATAAAACAGAATTCTAGTAGTCTTTTCACTGTATGTTTTTAATCTAATCTGGCATAATTTAAGACACTGATAGTTACATTACCCACAATAAAAGAAAACATGGATGTAACGGAAAATATTTTTTAAACATGGAAAAAGGGAAAACCAATAACAGTAGTGTACCACATTCATTTTGCCATAAATTATCAATACAAATAAAAATAGAGAAAAATATTGCATATATTGATGTATAGATAATTAAATTCTCGATATTAAGATAAGCATTTTGAAAATATATTTGATTTTCCTTCATTAAAAACAGGAAAAAGAACTGTACTCATCACTTTTTGTCAATGAAGGTTTGTTTTGTTTTGAAAATATGATCAATATTCTTGATTCTTTAACAAAGAGGATTTCCCCATAGTATTAAATTATTTCCTATCTCATTTTGATAACTGGGAAGCAATTCTCTGATAAAAATATACCAAGATATGTAGACATACCTGAATAAAGATATATTCATCCTGGACAACAAGTGAACTTGTATCAATAGAGTGCAAAAAAGGCCCATTCCTGGTAGTCTCTGAACATTCTTGAATTCTGCAAGTTATATAATGGGCATCTGTATGGGAAAGATAAGCTTGTATGAAAAAATGTTGACCAACAGTTTGTTATGGATTAAGTAAAGCAAATATTCATCTTTTGCCATGGCTCTCCAGCAATTAGATAGTTATTAAAAAGGTAATTTTTTAATCTAGAATTTATGGAAATATCCACCATATGTTATCCATAGTTCATCTGTTACAATATAATTTTTTTTTTCTACAATAAGAATTTGTTTAGCTTAGATTCATAAAATGTGACTCAAAGGTTTAAGCACTGAACTGACAGAGACTATATTCAATTTGGATTTGTTATCAAAGATATATGAAATATTTGATACTTCATAGGAAATGTATCATTCTGACATATTTTCACTAATAATCCAATATATTCCAAAAGGATACCTCCTCAAGTTTCACAAGAACATACGACAAATTCTACTTCCTCAGACTTCCTTTTTATCTTTTTTCCTCATTTAAGCTTATATCCTTATCTCATCTATTCATTCAAGAATATATATCTGCATTTATTTTGTAAATATAGTATAATGAAACAGCATGTAAACACCTATCCAGTTGGTCATGCAAGCATCCAGCTACTGTCATAAAAGCAATCTAGCACCCATTGGCCATGTCTAATAAATAATCAGATTTAATAAGGAAATGAAATGAGGCACTTACTGGAGCTTAGAAACCATGAATCAGATAAGAACCATTTTACCAAACAAAGAAGTAAAAAAGAGATCAGCTCCTAACCACTAATGAACCACATTTTTTTTTTCTCTCCCAACATAAAAAGATCATCTGAGCAATAAGAATGGCATTTTGATCTCTATGATTAAAAAAGAAAATCCTACAAAGGGACATATGTCCAAGACAGTTGGTATATTAAACAGTTATTGAAATAAAGGATTAAGTTGTTTTATAAGAGAGAAATATAAGCATTATTGAGGAAAGCAAGAATAAATACTACACAAAGATTGAATGAAAAAACAGATTCCATTAAGTAAGCAGGATTGCTGGATTTATATTTTATAGTACTTATAATATTTGAAAAGTTAAGGAATCAACAAATGAACCAGCAAACATGTGGAAAATTCTTAAAAACATCACTGGCTACAGCAAACCTCCTCCCCAGGCAGAAGGAAATCAACAACTAGCAGATGACCTGAATATGTTTTACTGCAGGTTTGAAGGAAACTACAGCCACCTGTTTCCACAACCCTCATCTCAAACACACCAACAACAGCCAAGCCTCCTACAACTGACCCCAACCCATTGGGTTTACAATCTCTGGTGATCATATAAAAAGAAGTGCAAGATGTATTTCACAGACAAAAGCCAAGAAAAGCACCAGGGCTAGACAAGATAACTCCTTCTGGTTTACAAGTCTGTACTGACCAATTGGCCCCATCTTCACCTGAATCTTTAATAAATTACTAGAGATGTGCCATGTTCCTTCTTGCTTCAAACACTCTACTATCACCCCAGTGCCAAACAAGCCCTTCATCAGGGAACTGAATGACTACAGACCAGGTGCTCTAACATCTGTAGTTATGAAAAGGCTAGTGCTGTCCCATCTGAAAGGCTAGTGCTGTCTCACTGAAAACCATCACGGAACTTCTGTTAGATCCCATGCAGTTTGCATACCAAGCAAATAGATCGACAGGTGATGCTGTAGGCTTTGCACTACATCCTACAACACCTTGACTCTCCAAATACCTATCCCATGGGTCCTCTTTGTAGACTTCAGCTCAGCATTCCATACCATCATTCTAAACATTCTTCTAACTAAACTAAACTAAACCTGTTAATGGCACCTGAACACATTTGTAAATGGATCATAAGCTTCCTAACAGACAGGTAGCAGCAGGTGAAGCTAGGCAGAAGCACATCTGATACCTGTACAATTAGCATAGCCCCTCCCCTCCAAGGCTGTGTGCTTTCTCCACTTCTCTTTTCCCTATATACCAATGACTGCATCTCAAACAATCCATCTGTTAAAATACTGAAGTTTGCAGATGATACAATAGTGATTGATCTCATTTGAGACAATGACAAATCTGCATACAGATGGGAGATTGTACAACTTGCCTCATGGTGTAACTGGAACAATCTGGAACTGAAGACACTCAAAACCATAGAAATGGTGGTAGACTTTAGGAGAAATCCTACCATACTACCACCTCTTACAATACTAGACAACACAGTATCAACAGTAGAGACCGTCAAATTTCTAGGTTCTATCATATTACAAGACCTAAAATGGACACCTAATATCAAAAACGTCATCAAAAAAGCACAACAAAGAATGTTCTTTCCGTGCCAACTCAGAAAGCTCAAACTAACCAAGAAGCTGCTGATACAGTTCTACAGAGGAATTATTGAGCCTGTCATCTGCACCTCTATAACTGTCTGGTTTGGTTCTGCAACCCAACAAGACAGACATAGACTTCAGAGCATAATTAGGACTGCAGAAAAAACAATTACTACTAACCTACCTTCAATCAAGGACCTGTATACTGCACGAGTCAAAAAGAAAGCTGTGAAAATATTTACAGACCCCTCACATCCCAGACATAAACTTTTTCAACTCCTACCCTCAAAATGATACTATAGAGCACTGCACACCAGAACAACTAGACACAAGGACAGTTTTTTCCTGAACGCCATCACTCTCCTAAACAAATAATTCCCTCAACACTGTCCAACTATTTACAAAGTCTGCACTACTATTACTATTAATCTTCTCATCAGTCCTTATCACCCATGTCCTCCCACTTGTGACTGTATGACTGTAACTTTGTTGCTTGTATCCTTACAATTTATATTGACTGTTTCCTAGTATGATTTGATTGCTTATTGTACCCTATGATTATTATTAAATGTTGTACTTTATGATTCTTGACTCTTGATGAATGTATCTTTTCTTTTATGTACACTGAGAGCATTTACACCAAGTATTCCCAATTACACTTGGCCAATAAAGAATTATATTCTATTATATTTAATATTTATATCATTTATAAATAATATGTAAATTTTAACATTAATTTATAACATAAATTACTTTATATTGTGGAGAGTATTTCAGTTCTAACATGGAAGAAATAATGTCAAAGTGAGATGAATGGGTCAATTTTCTGAGAACATGTCCTGTATTTCCATTTCAAGCAATTTTTTTATTAAGTCATTAAATCATAATTAAGATTTTTGTAGAACCTTCCCAGCTTACATATATAATATATGTCATGAGATCTAAATAACTTAATGGGATGAAGGCATTCTTTTTGCCCATGCCCAAGATTTAAACTTCATCTGACTACTCTTTAGAATTTGGACTTTTTAACCAGTCTTATTTTTCTGTAATGCCTACACAGTAATCACATTCTACTCACATTGCAGGAACCTTGAATTTAGATCAGGGGTGTCAAACTCAAGGCTTGCGGGCCATTTTTCCCATGGGGTGCATAAAACCGGCCCATGGGGCCAGCCTGGAAATATTAAGGGACTAGCCCACAGTGTCCTCCATGCTTCATTTTCATCTTCCATGGCCTCCTGCAGCATTCTACTGGTGAAACCAGGCTAAAAATGGGCTCAAAGTGGGTTGAAAAATAGGCCAAAAAACAGGCCAAAAATGGTCAAAAAAACAGCCCCCAAAATGGGCTGAAATAGGCAAAAAATGAAGGCAGGGGTTCAGCCCCCCTCCATATTTTGCCTTCCTGAGCTCCAAAGGAGACTTCTGGAAGCAAAAACGCCCCCCAGATGCTACTCTGAGGCCAGGTAGGCCCCAAATTGGAACATGAAGAGCTGCTGCGTGCCCCTCCCATGCTCTATTTTTTTTTCTTCCTGAGCCCCATAGGAGCCTTCTGAAAACAAAAACTCCCCCCTAGAGGCTCCTTTGAGGCCCAGAAGGCCCCAAAAATGGGTGGGTGGGGGTGGCTGCAAAAAAGCAAAAAAAAACAAAAAACCATGCCATGCCCACCCAGTCACACGGCCACGCCCACCTAACCACGCCCATAGAACCAGTAGTAATTTTTTTTTAATCCCATCACTGTAGAGCTGCCAGAAGGCAAGAACATCTTAAGACAAAAGGGGTGACTTGGGAGTAAGGCTTGGAGGTGGTTGGCCCTCCCATAAGACATAAAGGAGTAGCAAAGGGATATGAACCTTTGCGGGAAGCAACTTTGTTCATATTGGTCAGTTTGAAACCTGAAGTTCTGTGTTGATTTTGGGCTCCATTTGGTCTTGTACAACTAATTGGCAATTTAGTTGTTGGCAGCATTTTAAAAAAAAGATAAAGGTGCGTGCTTATCAGACTTATCCCAAGGACTTTGGCAGACTTCTGCAGGATTATTTATGAACTGTGTGAGACTCATTATGGGCTGTGAATGACTAGAATTCACAGCTGTTGAAATAAAACAAAAAGTTTTTGCAATTAACATGTGTTTGTTAATGTATCAGGAAGCCTTGGTCAGAACAGTAAGTATCGAAGCCTTTCTTGGACACCTGAGTCCTTCCACCTCCAGCATCTAGGCAGTTGAACTATAGTCATTGAAAGTTGATTACTACCTGCATTTTTTGTCATGTCAGAAAAACTTGCCAAACTGGCAGAAGAAAAAGGGGAAAGCAAAAGGAAGGTGAAAGAAAGAAAAAAAATTGCCAAAACTTAGAGAATCTTTGACAGAATTGATAGGCTTATAAGCAAGGCAGGACTAAAAATAGGATATTGCCTCTTGGAGGAGACAACATTGGAATGTTTTCTAATCTGTCTCCAGAGCAAATGCATGGTACAATAATCATACTCTGCTCTTAGAAAATACACGCATTGCATTAATGAAATTATGAGCCAATAAAAATACTAGGGAAAATACCAGTACCTCTAATGGAAAATAAAAATAACTGAGCGAGATAAAATAACCTTGTCCCTAACATTTGGATGCCATTCAAATGCCTTTTAAGTTTTTAGATTATATAATTATCTGTTTCAACTCTTGTGTCTGTTAACATTAGCGAGGAAAAACAAGAAGGCATAATTTATTATTTAAGATATAATAAATAATAAATTTATTGTTCTAAGGAAATATATTCTGCTGTGAGATAAGAACTTTAATTCTATTTTATTTGAAAAATAGGGAGAAAAAGAACTTTCAGCAGTCCCTATTCGGGCACCCAAGATTTTGGTTAAAGCATTTTCATTTGATAATTCTTTGCCAGTTTGGAAGCAGCTTTGGATATGAGCATTGTTGAGTAGCTGGGTTGATTTATTTCCAGGTCACATATGTAGTGGAAACCTTCTGTTTTCATACACTTAATTTCCAATATTTTCATTATACTTGTTTTTGAATTTGTTTCATTTTCTCTTAGTTTTCCTTAAATCATGTTGTCCAGACTCAGGTCTTCCGCTTTTTGTAAGGAGAGATAATGAGGGAATTTTTGTTGCTGCCAGATATGCAGATGTTGAAGATACAGCAGTAATTTTTATTCTTTTTTTTTTCAGCCTAGTCCAAATAGTCAGTGTAAAACCACAATGCCACATCATACGTTTTTAGAAATTTAACCAATTAAGAGACTGGCATGTTAGCCTCACTTGATACATGAAGGTTTTGCTTTTTAATATTAATTAACCTAACTAAATTATTTTTTCTATCTCAGGAGATTTTTTTTTTCTGTTTGTTCAGTTGTGTCCAATTTTTGAAAAAAAGTTCTTGCAATTTTCTTAGCAAGATTTACCTAGGCTGAGAGTGACTGGCCCAGGGTGGCACAGATGGTTTATGGCTAAAGTGGGACTAAAACTCAGGATCTCATGGTTTCTAGCATATTGCCTTAACCACTACATTTCTCTGATTAAGAATGTTTCTGCTCATTGTTATATGGAGGTGACCTGGACAAATATTAAAGGGACCTATCTGAGTCAGTTTCTGGGACCCATTCTCAGGGAACTTCTCTCTCACCAGAAAGCTTGGAAGACTAAATCTCCTCGATAACTGACCCAAATTGGATCTTGAAACATCTACCGTCCTTCACGACAAATATTAAAGTTCAATGGGTTACTGTGAATACAGACTGAATAAAAGTGACAAACCAAGTACAAAATAAATATTTCAAAACAATTTGATGATACAGGCAGAATGAATGAAGATACAATTGAAAAATAAATAAGAAAGATGAATGAATTTTCCAAGAGGAAGATTCTTTCAAAAAATCATGGCTATAAATATTGAGGAAATCTCAAAAGAGAGTTCTGAGAAGTTTATAGGATCAAATTCATATATCGATATGTTACAAACAAAAATGGTTTCCAAGTATGGAAATATATAGGCAATAGTGTTGCCATAAAGTAGATTTGCTACCATTGATTATATTTGCTTGTGTGCTACTAAAAAGAAAAGGCTTGGCATGACTAACAATGTTAAGCCCCAAAAGTCCAATACTATAAAACTGCAAATTACATATTTTAAAAAGTTAGTTTAAAAAAAAAAAAAAAAAAAGATAAAAAAACTGGAAACATGCAAATATCATATACCACAAACACCTTCATCCAGCCAGGTGGAAAAATGTGTGTTTATCATTTTCCTGAAGCTCAAGGAGGACAAAGTTGACCAGATACATGCTGGGGTAGTTATTAAATTTGCCATATGAATCCATCACAACTCTTGATAACATAAAATATGAAAATATAATAAGATATTTTAATATAAATTGATGGAATGAATAAACATTATGTCCTAGGTTAGCTGAACATGATGTTTACAATAACTAGCATTACTTAATTAGGGATTTCCAGTTACCTCCAGATAATCTAGCCTTTCAAGAAGTTTGAAGACAATGTTGATATGTATTGTATTTCCATTTAAATTGAGGCTATTATTTCAAGTTTACATATATACATATAGATTAGCAATTGTGACATTATGCAAATCTGTATTCTGTTTTGTATTCTCTCTGACTCTCTTGCAATACATAAGAGGCTTAGAAAGCAGAATTAAGGTGCAAAGCCTACTTGTAATTCTATACTATTCTTTGGTAACAAATGTTAGTAAGAGCATTCTCCTATATAAAAACATATTCACTCCAATTGTTTTCTCTAGAAATAAATGAAATGAAATCTATTTTTATATAAATATTCTTTGTATAAATGTGTGCTAATTTTTATGTATTTTATTTTAAAATTTGTTTATCACCCATCTCATTGCAAGGTGAAATGATAAGATAGAAGTCTTATAAAACTACTAATTAAAAATGGGAAACTAGCTCTTGGGAATGGTTTAAAAATCCCAGTTTCTTGTAGCTCTTCATCCCTAACAAATTCTAATTGGGGAATTTAAATGACACACAGAACAAAAACCAAATAGCTATTAAATTCTCATTCTAGCAAACAAATGAAAATGCTCTTATTGGTTTCTTGTCCCAGCAAGTACAACAAACTTACCCATATGGTTTGTTTATGAACCAGGGACTCTGGTTTGCTCCTCTTTAAACCAGCTTGGGATAGAAGCCAAGAGTGCCATTTATGTATATGGAGGAGGCAAGACAGGGAGACTTGGAGATACATAATTGTTCTAGCATATTATTTTTGTCTTTGTTTATTGTTTGTTTATTTCCCTTTTATTTACTGCCTCTAATAAGTTTGTGTTCCCTTTTCCTTCTATTTCTTTCCACAGAAATAAAAGTTGCAGAAATATATTCTCTTGATACCTAGGTTGGGAACATACAGCAAAGGGAGCTTGGGGACTCACATTTTCCCTATCAATTTTCCCTATCAAAATCAAAAAACAAAACCAAGTAAAATGAAATTGAATCTCTTCCTCTCTGCTTGATAGACTTGGTGCTGAGACACTCACGTCCATCTGGTGTCCGAGCCTCCATATGCACAAGGTCAGGCTCCTTATCTAAATCCGTGACAGACCTGAGAGAAAAGAAGAAGAAGCAGAAAAGAAACAAATCAATCTGTGCAGCAGAATGCATAATAACAGGCAAAGGTGAAGTTGGATTGAGAAATGAAAAGTGGAGAAAAAACACTGGCATCTCATTTTAAACAACCCAACCTAAAATTGGGATTGATTCAATGCATGCAAAAGAAAGCAACAAACATGAACCTAATAATAATTTAGTTTAAAAAGCACATCAAATTAGCAGAGAATAAATTTTAATTATATTTAATTTGCTTTTAACAACCTTCATGTACAATTTACATTCAAATGTCTGAAAATGTTTGTTAGTAAAGCAGGAAGAAGAACTAGTTGTTGAGTATAACTTCTAGGGCTGGAATATGTATTGTAAATAATGCCCAGAAAGACTTTTTGTTTGCTTCAATTATGATCCAGGATGACACAAAGCATGCTAATAAATTGGTCTTCACATTTCATACTATGAGAATACTGCTCGGTGTAAAATGATCTGCCATGGTAATATTGTATCAATGTTTTGGGGTAGACCAAGAAAAAGATCTAGCAAGGATTCTAAAAACTTCTATTTTATTATGACAGTGTATAATAACAACAACAGAATTTTGAAAGCCTGATCAGATTTGCCTCTGTCTATATTATACTACATGAGTTTCTTTCTCATGCTTGCTTCAGTCTTTGGATCATGTCATCCATTGTCCATTCCCTTTCTTAACAGTTTGTTCTTGCTTTTCCCAAGGTTAGCTTTAAATTATTTTATATCTTAACATCAATTTGTATTTATTGTATTCATGAATTAAATATTATCCCTTTTTTCTCCAAGAGATCAAGGTGACATAAATAATATTTATTACACAACCACAAGCCTAAGAAATAGGTTGGACTGAAAGGAAGTGACTTGCTTAACACAATCCACTGAGCTACAACAGCTAGTAATGCTTTTGATCCTGTGGTTTCTTTCTAAATACAACTTGTGCTGTGTCATATGAGCAATGGTTAAAACTATATAGCCTGTTTCCCAACTCAGGTTGAGAATGCTTGTTAACATACAACCAAAAGTCCTCTGCACATCGCCCCAGCAGGGAAAGACCAATCCCAATGAAAAATCTATGTCTTTGGGGAAAACTTAACTATTATTTGTGATGTATTATTTGAGCATTTCTCAGCATATGGATGTGTAACAGAGCATGTGCAAAAAAGGGCCTACTCATGTCACAAACTACTTTGGAAGAAAAATAAACCTTTCTTGCCCATAAGTGTTTTTCCACCCCAGCCCTGTATGAATAAAATAATAACTTGCAAAAATTTCCTCAAAATATTTTAGCTTGTACATCATTACTGCCTTGTTTAGAAGCATGCACACGCAACCCAGAGTGTGAGTATTCTTCAATAATTCATAAAATTGATTTAAGAAAATAGATGTTTTGAATTTGTAATCCATTGTTAACCAAATTCATAGACATGGAGATGGTAGTTCATAATCCAATACTCTGATAATTTCAAGATTAATTGAAGGATTCCAAGATTGAATAAGTAGAGACTTAATGGATTATTATTATTAAGGAAGACATATGTGTTATCAAATACTATAGAGCTTCTTTCAAATCAATTCAATTCTTGATGGTCCCTTATTACCAGTATGAGATGTTAGTAAAACATTTATGATAGATTTATTTATCTCTCTGGCATCAGATAGAAAGCCTTGCCAAAAAAGAAAGATATATATTTGATGAGCCAAAACAGAATTAAGCCATAAACTTAACCCAGTCTTGGTTTTTTTTTTTTTTAAATAGCAATATGAAATCAACAGATTTATTGTAAGCATAAAAGATCTACAGGAAGCTGGATTTTATTATTTATGAAATATTTTGAAAAAAGCAATGTCGGAAAAATTACTGGCCTATCAACTGAATGCAGGATAAAAGTATTATTACTATATTTAGAGTGGAACCAAAAATATTTCCACAACGGAAGAGATGATGTAACAATTCATGAATTACTGCTGTAGATTATATAGTATGCATATATAGATCCAGAAAAACTGAAGATTATTTGAATATATTGTTAATCACATTTACAAATCAACAAAGGAAAGTTTTAACCATCTTATTACTGAAGACAAGACAAAAGAAGTGGTTAAAAACTGAAATGGAACAAATTTTCTGGACTTAACAATATTTCCACTATGTAATGATGACTGATGAATGATATTATCCATTTAATGGTGTCTGACTCTTAGCAATTCTTCAGATTATGTCTCTCCACGTGTTCTGATCTTGTACTACTTCTTTGATTGGTTCTATGATCTGGTTGGTGTCAGCTTTGATAGTATCCAGCTACCATGTTATTTGGTGGCTTAATTTCTTTTTACTGTTAACTCTTCACATCTTGGTCAAACCATTAATGTAGTAATGAATTAAATTCAGGAATGTAAAGAATTTCCTACACCTTGAAGTGATTTTATCTCTTTGATTTATAAAGAAGGAAAAGGTTTGAGTTGTACAGAACTGTTTTGCTACTGAACATGTTTGAAAACAGAATAAAAAGTTAATTAAATGATATATCTGGCAAGATAAATGTTTAAAGTGGCCAAGATTTTTGTTTTTATTTTTATTGTATGCAGAAAAAGCTTTTGATCATTTGGAATGGCACTTCATAGTTGCAACTTTTTCTTTTTAAAAAATGTAACTTATTGCTCAATTTGTTAAGTGGGATACATAGTACTTATAAAGGAAAAGCCAGGATAATAGTTTTTTTTAAAAAATAGTAATAAGGCATTATACTAAACAAGGATAGTTATAACTTTTTTGAGGACTAGGATTAACATTTCCTAAAGATATGGAATTCTATATGACAAAAATATAGAGATTAATTTATAAACAACTATCACTGAATTAGAAAACTAGAATAAGAGCTATGTGGCTAGGAAAAATTGCAGCCATTGAAATGAATATTTTACTAAACATTTTACCAAAAGTCAATTTTCCTTTTCCAATTGACTAATGCATATGGAAAACTGTCAAGGTTGGACCGCTTTTGAAACATTTAGGTCTTGTTGCTATTCAACTTGCCAAAGAACTGGGGGGCGGGGAAGGAAGGAAGAATACAGACATGCCAGAGATGGACCGTGAGAACCAAGAACCCACCAAGGTCACTAATTCAGGTGTACAATGGAAAAGTGAACAGTTCTCAAAACAAAAGAATGATTCATAACTGGACAATGTGACCAATTTGGGGAGAAAAAGAAACTATTGTTTAATTATACAAGCATTGCATGGGAAAAACCAGAGTTAGTTTTGATTCTTCAGTACTGAAATAGTTTGTCCAATAAAGTTGCAATACCTGGTACAATGTCAGAGGCAGAGTGGGTGAAAGAGCAGGACATTAATGCTGATAAGTAAGCAACAGGTTTCCATGCAAAACACCCACAAAAAACAGGAGGGCGAGTGAAGGCTCAAGGAACATGAGTAATGATATTAATCTATGTTTGACATCTTTACAGATCTTGCCTTTTTTCCAGGGGGTCAGCAAGTCAAAGTTGAACCATTATATTAAGTGATTGGCTTAAACAAGTTGTGGTCCAGTTTTAACAAATCCAGAGCCAGCCTTACTATTAGTGACTATTGCATCAGAAAAGACAAATAATTTCTACTTTCTAATTTCTTGGACAAAACAGGAAAATGGTTGTGGAATTTTTGCTCAGATACTAGGTTTTAATTGATATACAGATTGATTTGAGGCATAAGTGAAAAGGCATGTTTGCTGTTATCCCTTAGGCAATTGACTAGTTTGTGCTCCCCCTTGAGGATAATACACATTTGTCTTTGTGCACTTGGCATTGTCAGATGAATAGTCTTTAGAAAAATACATCCTGGTTTTATACAATTCTGAATAACTCATTTCACCATATAGGAAGTTTCCACACTGGCTATCTTTACTTACTCTATAATTGTTTGATTGTACATTTTTCTGAATAAAATATATTAATAACCATAACAATTTACTTTTAGTTATCACTTTACAATGATCCAGAGTAGCAGAATGTATCACAAATATAAATTAAGAAATCAAAATATCTCATACTATCAAGGATTAAACATTTGAAAAAGCAGTATTTGCATAGCCCTTTAAAAAGGTTGGAAAGGAGGCTTATTTCGAAATGTAATTTGCAATGAAAAGCATGGATGATTTGCGGAATAAAGGAAAGAATGCCCAGGGAAAAAAATCAGATAAGATTGGGAATAGTCCCAAATAAATAAATGGATAAAGAGATAAAGGAAGAAACTTAGGAAGAATTCACCCTAATTGTTCAGAGGGTTAAAAGTGGCAGCAGGAAGTTTGTACCTTCAGGCATGCAAGAGCCTTAAAAATAGAATTTAACAATTTAAATTAACATTAGCTCATTTAATCATATTTCCTATCTAATTTACCCAGGCTAATGTGAGTTAAAGTTACTGGAGTAGACTTATAGAGTAGATATAGATTAAGTTTTATTTCCTATTTGTTCCAGTGGTTCACAGTGGTCCCTTTTTGTTCGGAAGGGAACTCCTCCAATGGAGAGGGAGTTCAAATTTTCATGATCTTAGCTCCTGCACTCCTTCATAGACATTCACCTCCCTTCAAAGCACAGAAAAGCATTCCTTTGGCAGCGTGCAGGAACTCAAAACATCAGGATTTTAGCTCATTTCTGCATCCTGCCAGAGGAGTTTGGCTTGCCTTAGCAAGAAACTCTTGCAGCCAATCCCGAGAGATGGATTCCTCTCACTAGGTGGCAGCAGCTTGAACGCTTTCCTGCTACCTTCCCCATTGACTTTCTGGAGAAGCTGGTAGACAAGATTGGAAATGGTGGTCACATGATCATGAGGCATTCTGTAATGTGTACAGGTTGCCAAGCAAACAGATCATAATCACATGACTGCAGGAATGTGATATAACATTTTGGATAAGTAGAAGTGCTTCACAGGCTATCAAGCATCTTTTATCAGGCCTCTATAATTCTGAA